AAAAATTGGTAAAACTATCTTATCTGAAGATATTTGATTGTTCTGCTTATGTTCATGTTGATGTAGAGTCTACAAATAAGCTTGATTTAAAATTTATCAAGTATACTTTCATTGGATATGATTTAACTGAATTTTCATACAGATTCTAGGATTTAAAAAAGTAGAAGTTCATCAAGAGCATTGATGTTACTTTCAATGAAATAAAAATGTACAAGAACATGAAATAAACTCAGGATTTCACATCAGCTACTTTTGAAGAGTCCAAATATGTTAAGATAGAATATGTTGGCTATCATGAATGCTTCATCTGATGAAGCAGATGAAATTCCTCAGTTACCTACCACTAAAGTTAGAAGATCCAAAATAATCACAATAGCTACCCAAAGGTATTCCCTTTCATTAAACTACTTATTGCTAATAAATAGTGATAAACCAGAGTGCTATGAAAATGTCACTACGTTTGAAAATTTAAGGGAGTGGGAGGTTTCCATAGTACTAAGGCCAAATCATAATTGATATTTGGTACAATTATTAGATAATAAAAGAGAAATATACATCAAGTGGGTCTACAGGCTGAAAGATTAGTGAAATGGTAGCAGCCACTATAAGACAAGACTTGTTGTGCAGGATTTCAACAAAAGGAGTGAGTATGTACACTAAGATCTTTTCTCATGTGTTGAATATTGTCCCATCAGAATCTTACTAAGCTCAGTAGTTGAGAGGGAATCTACATCTAGAGCAAATGAATGTAAATACAACTTTCTATGCATCCATATCTAGAAGAGGAACTATACAGGGTTATGAGGTTTCAAAGAAAGAAGGCTTGGTATGTATGTTGAAGAAAATCCTCCATGGTTTAAAAAAGACCCCAAGAATTTTGTATATAAGGTTTGACAGGTTCATGTCAAATAGTGGATACATTAAGTGTCAGGTAGGCCATTGTTGCTTCATTAAAGATTTTGATAATGTTTAAATCTTATTTCATTTTGTATGTGGATGACATGATGATTGTAGGGGCATATATGGAGAAAATAAAAAACTTGAAGGAACAATTATCAAGGGAATTTGAGATGAAGGGTTTAGGTCCAACTAAGAAGATCATCCAAATAAAATCTTCGAGGGACAAGAGTGCAAGCACGTTGATGTTATCTTAGGCAATATATAGAGAATATCCTACAAATGTTCAACATAAGTGAGGTAAAACCAATTTGGACCCTCTTAGGTAGTCACGTCAATATATCTTAAGAACTGTAGCCTAATTTTGAAGTAGAAGAAGCACAGAGAGAGAACCTCATATGCTCGAACAGTTGAAAGTCTGATGTATGTTATGGTATTTACAAGGCTATATATTATACATGTAATGAGAGTAGTCTACAGGTATATGGACAATCCTGAAAAGAATCACTGTGAGGCAGTGAAGTAGATTCTCATGTATTTGAGATGAATAGTCAGCATGTCGCTTTACTTTAGAAGTGCAGAGATTGATTAACATGGATATGTAAAGATATGGCATGGGATATAGATGGCAGAAGATGTACAATAGGGTATATCCTTACTTTGAGAAATTAGAAAAGGGTATTGTTTCAAGACTACAAAAAATTATTGCACTTTCAGCTATGGAAACCAAATACATTTTTATTGCTATGGCTAGCAAAGAGATGATTTGAATGCAAAATTTTATGATAGAAGTGAAAAAAGAGTGGAGGATTGGAAAGCATAATAGTGTAAGTATGATTGTTATTCATCTCACTAAGAACGCTGCTTTTCTTGTCATGACAAAGCCTATTTAGACGAGCTATCACTTTATTTGTTCTCTCCTAGAACATGAAGAATTGTTCTTAGAAAAGATACACACAACTCAAAATCCTACAAATATGTTAACTAAAGTGATGACTATCGAAAAGCTCAACCTATGCTTGGTTGAAGTTGAATTCTAAGAATTTAAAAGTGGTGGTGAGCCCTGCTATACTACTGAACTATGAAGATGCTACACATGAAGGTGCAGATCTATAGGAGAGGTGTTGGGTTAATATCAATCCCCAAGTGGCAGACTTTGAAGTGTGGAGCCTGTTTGCATGGCAGGTGCAGCCTACAATACTTTCCAACATCTACACACACATTATAACGCCCCAGTGGTGGCGTCCCAACGCTCTAGTCCAGAAGACCGGGCACCCTTATGCCTTAAAATGGCGTTCAAGGGCCAATCAGGACAATTAGTGTACGACGCAACAACACCATGTTTTTATTTGTTTAACAGAGCACTTAAAATTCAAGAGCCCAAGAGGGGCGCGACAACTCTTAGATTTGTGACATCAACTCGAGCGAGCATAAATTCATTGTCAAGGAGTGGAGCTATTTCTACACAGTTTGGGATTTAAGACCTCATATCACAAAGGATCAAATTCTCTCATGGTGTATTCCCGACAAAGCATAATAGTTGTGTAGAAGAATTTATGTCGAGGAAGTGGATTTTGGTGAGTGCTTTCTTTTGTGAGGTCAAGAGAGGAAGGAGTGTGAATTTCTTTATATTCCAGTGGAGCAGAGAGTAGACATGAATGGTGTAATTTTTCTCTTTTCATGGTAGAATTTTTAGTGTGGTGTGGTTCTATAAGATTTTTCCATTTTCGTGTTTTCGATAATAACTGTGTTTTTTTTTTGGATTTCCTTGTTATGTGCTTCTTGAACATTTTTTTTTGTTATGAATCTCTTAAATTGATGTGTTTTGTTGCGGTGTGCTTTGGTTGTGAATCGATTAAATCACATGCATGCTTCCATCCCAACATAATGTTACTCTTATAATAATACATCCTGCATGATAAAACATTCAACACATCATTTCTTATTTATGTCATATTTATATTCACATTATACATCTTATATATATGTATGTATTTGTATGTATGTATGTATTTGTATGTATGTATTTATATGTATGTATGTATGTATGTATGTATGTATGTATTTATATGTATGTATGTATGTATGTATGTATGTATGTATTTATATGTATGTATGTATGTATGTATGTATGTATG